CTGGGCAATATAGCAAGACCCATCTCAAAAAAATTGAGAATTGGATCTTAAAATTTGCATGGAAAGGCAAAGGAATTAGAATAACCAAAACACGTCCCCAAAAGAATAAAATTGGAGAATGTATACTCCCTGGTTTCCAAACTTGCTATGAAACTTCTAGTAATCACATCTATAAGATATGAAAAAAGGATAGACATATAGATCAAGGGAACAGAATGAACAATACGGAAAAAAAAATTAAAATTTATGGCCATTTTAGTTTTGAGGGTCTCAGTTTGTCACCCAGGCTGGAGTGCAGTGGTGCCATCATTGCTCAGAATAGCCTCAACCTTTGGGCTCAAGCCATCCTCATGCCTCAGCTTCCTGCGCAGTGAGGACTACAGGCACGTCCCACCACACCCAGCTACCTTTTTTTTTTTTTTTTTTTTCCTTTCAGCCAGGGACTCACTCTATCATCCAGGCTGGAGTGCAGTAGCATGCTCACAGATCCTGGATTCAGGTGATCCTCCCACCTCAGCCTCCCAGGTAGTTGGGACTATGGGCACTCACCACCATGCCTAGCTAATTTTTTGTATTTTTGGTAGAGATGGGATCTTGCCATGTTGTCTAGGCAGGTCTCAGAAACTCCCGGGCTCAAGCGATCCTCCTGCCTTGGCCTCCCAAAGCGCTGGGATTATAGTCTTGAGCCACCACGCCTGGCCATTTTCTTTCTTTCTTTTTTTTTTTTTTTTTTTTTTTTTTTTTTTTTAGATAGGGTCACACTATGTTGCCCAGGCTAGAGTGCAGTGGCTATTCATAGGTGCAATCATAGTGCACTGCAACCCTGAACTCCTGGTCAGCTGCCACTTCTTAAAATGTTTCTGTCCCCTTCTCTGGTTCTGGGACTACTGTTGTGCATGGGGACTGTGCTTTGTCAATGCCTAAGTCCTGCAGGGCTTGCTGTCACTCAGAATCTCCCATACCAAGACTCTCCTACACTTCAGTTTCAAAAGCTGGTAGTAAAGAAAAGAATGTGCCAAGAGCTGAAGTTCTGCTGTGATGAGACTGCCCAAGCTCCCCTGTATCTATACCCAGGGATCTGGATGGCTTAGTTCTTTTTTTCTTTTTTTGAGACAGAGTCTCACTCTGTTGCTCAGGCTGGAGTGCAGTGGTGCAATCTCGGCTCACTGCAAACTCCATCTCTTTTCAAACTCCACCTCCATTCTCCTGCTTCAGCCTCCCAAGTAGCTGGGATGATAGACCTGCACCGCCACACCTGGCTATTTTTGTATTTTAGTAAAGATGGGGATTCACCATGTTGGCCAGGCTGGTCTTGAATTCCTCACCTCAAGTGATCTGTCCGCCTTGGACTCCCAAAGTGCTGGGATTACAGGCATGAGCCACTGTGCCCAGCCTGGATGATTTAGCTCTTTAAGGCTTACAGAAGTTGGTACCTTATGGAAATGGGTTGGGGTGGTCTGGATGCCAGGTATTCTTCTGAGGTTGCTGTTCTCATAATTGCTATATTCAAGTATGTCACCCAATTGTGATAAAATGCGTAGAGCACAGCAGCAGAGTGGGACCAGCTGGGCTGAGGAGGAAATGAAGTACATTTTTATTTTCTTTTTTCTGAGACAGTCTCGCTCTGTCACCCAGGCTGGAGTGCAGTAACTCCATCTAGGCTCACTGCAACCTCTGCCTCCCAGGTCCAAGCGATTTTCCTGCCTTGGCCTCCTGAGTAGCTGGGATTAAAGGTGTGTGCCACCACGTCCAGCTAATTTTCGTATTTTTAGTAGACGAGGTTTCACCATGTTGGTCAGGCTGATCTTGAACTCCTGACCTTAGGCGATTTGCCCGCCTTAGCCTCCCAAAGTGCTGGGACTACAGGAGTGAGCCACCATGTCTTCACCAGTCTTGGTTAAGTATTTTATAGTTGAGTTTCATAACAACCCTATAAAGTAGGCATCACTGTCAATTTTACAAACAAGTAAACAGAGGCCTAGGACAGGTAACCTCCCTAGATCATACACCAAGGAAGAGGAAAGGCTGGCACTCAGGCCCAGGCCAGTAAGCCCAAACCTCAAATGCACTTAACCTACCACAACAATCTGGGATTCTGAGGTGCTTGAGTCAGCTGATACCCCAGATCTAAGCATCTGAAGGTCCCTAATTGTAGAGCCTTTCATGAGAACAAGCTGCTGGAGGGTAAGCACACATCACTCCTCGAGGCTGTACTAAAGGAGCCTCATCTTAGTTCCCCTATGCACATGGAGGCCACGCTGGGTGATCACCCTTGGGAGGGAGACGCGTAGCTTGACTTGGTGCTAATGCGTCCTGGCAAGGCGTTCTCCACTTGAGCAGCTAGCTGTGTGATCCCAGAGGCTCAAATCATGCGCCACAGCGCCACCTACTGGCCGGCGAACAACATTGTCCTGTTGTAAAGTTGGCAAACAACCATTTACAAAGTTTCAAAATTTAAAAATCCTTAAAAGACGTTTTTTTTTTTTTTTGGAGACGGAGTCTTGCTCTGTCGCCTGGCTGGGGTGCAGTGGCGCAATCTTGGCTCACTGCAACCTCCGCTTCCTGGGTTCAAGCAATTCTTCCGCCTCAGCCTCCCGAGTAGCTGAGACCACAGGCGCGTGTCACCATGCCCGGCTAATTTTTGTATTTTTAGTAGAGATGGGGTTTCATCATGTTGGCCAGGATGGTCTCGATCTCTTGACCTCGTGATGCGCACACCTCGGCCTCCCAAAGTGCTGGGATTACAGGCTTAAAAGACATTTTAAAGATTTTGCCTTCCACTTTTCTCCATTCATTTAATCATCTGTTAAGTGCCAAGCACCATGTGAGGTGTTGGGAGTTTGGGAGAGGTCGAGTCCTTCTCAGAGGGATTTACAGAACCAGCAGGGCAGAGAACCAAATCAAGATAGAAACAGGCACATGGGGACCCCAAAGGGGGCCATTTTACTGGAGAAGGAAAGGCACCACTGTGGGATGGTGGTCTGAGGCTGAGCTTTTGAAAGACAGAGGGGCTCATGCCTGTGATCCCGGCACTCTGGGATTCTGAGGTGGGTGGATCACCTGAGGTTAGGAGTTCGAGACCAGCCTGACCAATGACCAACATGGTGAAACCCCATCTCTATTAAAAATACAAAATTAGCAGTGCATGGTGGCGCATGCCTGTAATCCCAGCTACTTGGGAGGCTGAGGCAGAACTGTTTGAATCGGGAGGCACAGGTTGCAGTAAGCCAAGATCCCGCCAATGCACTCCAGTGTGAGCAACAAGAGCAAAACTCTGTCTCAATAAATAAGTAAATAAAATGAAAGACAGGAGGGCTCTTGAGGGGTTGGGGGTTCATGTGATCCTCAATTCGGGACTTTCCACAAGCACAGGGAACGGCCATCAGGAGACACTTTTGGTGAGCAAAATATGGGAGTGGGAAATGTCTCAGTGTGACTAGGGAGCAGGGCGTGAGGTGAGATCCAGCTGTGGGCCAGGTGCGGTGGCTCACACCTGTAATCCCAGCACTTTGGGAGGCCAAGACGGGTGGATCCCCTGAAGTCAGAAGTTCAAGACCAGTCACACCATGCCTACTAAAAATACAAAAAATTGGTTGAGCATTCTGGTGGGCGCCTGTAATTCTACCTACTTAGGAGGCTGAGGCAGGAGAATCACTTGAACCCAGGAGGTAGAAGTTGCAGTAAGCAGAGACAGTGCCATTGGAGTCTAGCCTGGGCAACAAGAGTGAAATTCCATCTCAAAAATAAATAAATAAAAAGATCCAGCTGTGGAAGGGGAGCATTCACCCGGCTGCACAATCAGCCACACCCTGGAGACCCTGGCTGGCCAGGTCTGGGGCTTGGACCTTCGTCTCATGACAAAGGGGAGTCTGTCAGGTGTTTCAAGGCAGTGAATAAAGCGACCTGCTGTATTTTACAAAGACGACCCTGCAGAGGGAGGATGGGATGACACGAGAAGCAGGACAATCATTAAGAGATGGTTCTCAAAGTCAGGGCTGACAACCCTCTCAACCACAGCAGTGGTGGGGGATAGAGAGAGGTCAGAACAGAGGAGAGGCACTGAGGAGACAGACCCTGTGAGGCTGGGTGATGAGCTGGAGGTGGATGGAGAGGTGAGTGGGAACATCAGGTGACTCTCAGATTTCTGGTGTGGCTGACCATTCCTGAACTGGAATAGAAGAGGCTGATTTAGAAGACAAGACAGAGATTGTTGTAAACATGTTAACCTATGAGATTCTCAAAACTAAAACACTTAAAAAAAAAAGCTACTTAAAAATTAGTTGGGGCTAGGCATCATGGCTCACGCCTGTAATCCTAGCACTTTGGGAGGCTGAGGCAGGTGGATCACTTGAAGTCAGGAGTTTGAGACCAGCCTGGCCAACATGGTCAAGCCCAACTCTATAAAAATACAAAAATTAGCGGGTGTGGTGGCATGTCCCTGCAATCCCAGCTACTAGAGAGGCTGAAGCAGGAGAATCGCTTGAACTCGGTAGTGGACGTTGCAGTGAGCCGAGACTACACCACTGAACTCCCACCTGGGTGACAGAGCAAGATCCCATCTCAAAAAAAAAAAAAAAAAAGTTGGATGAACAGGTAAGGTCCAGAGACTAACTTGTGGATGGAAGCTGGTGTAGAAAAAGAGCACTGGCTGCTTCTCTGTGTTGTTCCCACAGTGTGAGAACACTGCTACCCCTTGCTTTCCACACAAACCTGAGCGCACATATGCCCACGTGGAATGCCAAGCCGCGGGTTCCTCCTATGAGGTCAGCTGCAGGCAGACGGCCAGTCGGAACTTCAGGAGGAGAGATTTCCCACGCAGCCACTCCAGCACTGCAGAGATGGTAAGATGAACACCTGCATCTTCGCTCCCGTTGCCAAATCCTTCCTTTCACTGTGGTAACACTGGTAGGTATGCACACTCTTCTCCAATGTTTATGCTTTGTGGGGGCAAACACATTTAAGTCACTACAGATGAAGAACATTTCACAAGCAGCCGTACCAGAGTAGTTAAAATGTCTGTTTATTCATTTATAAACCTAGTAACATGAAAAGAAACTCAATAGAATTCTCCTTGGTGGAGACACAGTGCACAGTGTTAGTGCCAGATTCACAGGAGCAGAAATGCTCGGTCATCCCGTGCATCCAGTCACCCAGGATCTCCAGAAAAGATCCCACTTACTGAAGTGCCTCGGATGTCTTCAGGGCCACATTGAAACTACACAGGAACAGAGAAGGGCTGAGCTGAAGTGCACACTGACAAACACAAATGATGAGTCACAGGACTCTACAGTAATTACAATGGTGTTTTTATACATCCCGAGTGTTGACTGGAGAGTAAAGTGTTAACTGAGCTGCTAGAAAACCGTTCACTGAAAGAGCTTTCTACCCCACGCCCATTGTTCTAAGGACGGAGAGGCTATGTCAGGTGGATGGGAACTCACACACTGAAATGAACTTTTCTTTCTCTTTCTTCCAATCTGCACCCACCATCTGCCATGCTGGAGTGTAAGGCACTAGAACCTGGCTTAGAGAAGAGCGGGGCTCTAAGCTCCAGTTCTTGGTGTGCAAAGGAAATCCTGACATAGATCTTTTGAAAGAAATGCTAAAAAATCCTCCCTATCTCCTGTAATTTCTGTCTTTGACAGACAGGAAAACAAGAAGGCAGAAGATGGGTTGCAAAGGATGAAAATGGGTGCATCTAAGAATGAGAAAAATGGCCCATGAAGAAATGTGTACCTCTCCAGGAGGTATAGGCACTCTGCTTGGAGAAGTCAAGAATCATAAACAACTCTTGTCATGGACAAAGGGAAGGCAAAGGCATACAAAAACACTCAGTTGTCCTGAAAAAGAGTGTACTGGTAGTGATCAGAGCTGCAAAGGCGAGCCCTGTACTGAAAATGGAGGAGCCTTACAACTCAGCACCTTAAAGCGGAGGCCCGCAGTGGTGGTGGGGAGGGAGGCGCTGACAGACAGACCCACAGCTCACTCACCACTTACTTCGTGTACACAGGGCCTGGGTCAAGCCCCACACATTTACCATTTCTTCCACTCAACTGTGCTTCTCCTGAATCCATGTGCCTGAAATGACATGTGCAAGGTGAACATTCTTTATATTGTGTTGACAAAATACTGCTTTTATCAATGTTTGTGAGGGATGTGTCAGGGCTAGCATGCAGGAGGAAAATTAGAATGGCAGGAAGTTATTATTCATTATTAGCCACTGTTGACCAAACCTCTTAGTTTTTTTTTGTTTTTTTTGAGACAGAGTCTCACTCTGCCACCCAGGCTGGAGTGCAGTGGTGCAATCTCAGCTCACTGCAACCTCCATCTCATGGGTTCAAGTGATTCTCCCATCTTGCTCGGCCTCCCAAAGTGCTGGTATTATAGGCATAAGCGACCATGCCCAGCCAACCAAACCTGTCTTAGATATTAAAGAAGACCCTTATTGACTACACTGGCCAAGAAACAACAGAGACATAAAAATGAACCTCGTTGCTAACCCCTGAAAGCAAGCCAATGCAAACTGCTCCACCAGGCCAGTCTTCTAGGGCCGATACCGATAATGTGAGTCACAGAAGATTCCTTCTATTTCAGGTTCTCAAAAAGTGGTGTAGACTCAGTCAAATGCCAGCAAATGTGTCCATATGCCAGAGGAGAAGCAGAGCCAGAAATGAAGGTTATGGGTCCTATCTCCAGTGAAGCACTGAACACTCTCGGAAAGCTCCTGTCACTCTTGCACCACTACTGCCACCAAGACGGTGGGAAGGGAGGCGGCTAACTTTCAATTGCATGCAAAGGCAGATAGTATACTGTGGAAGCTGGAGATTTACTTTTCTATGTTTTAGTTACTTTCTTTGAAACAACAATCCAGGAAAACAAGCAAGCAGGTAAAACTCCTGGTGTGCACGAGGAGAGACCCAGGGCCAGCGTGCCTCCCGATGAGAACCAAACAGGAGTGGCTGGGCTCCACTCCTGAGGCCAGAGAAAACAGGCAGGGGTTTAATCACTGGGCTACATAGTCTCCGTGTCCCTGGCCTGAACGAGAGCTCTTGAATGTGGGGGGGCAGGGCCCCCTGGAAGAGTGTGAAAAATATAGTGGTCATTGTGCAGTTCTCTCTGCTGGAGTGTGGCCCAGCACGGCAGTTAGTGTTTGTCCGTTTTTGCTCTTCAGAGTTCCTGAATGAAGTTTTTCTGGCTTCAGTACCAAGGATCACGGAAGGATCATCTTCCTGATGCAACCTTAGATGGAAGTCAACGACACTGGCAGTGCTAAGAACAGGAATCACACATGGCCTGCCAATGAAGGGAGGTAATTAAGGATATTTCAGGGGAGGGGAAAGCCCACAGAAAACTGGCAACCCTGGGTCTCCATCTGTTTGAGGCCAATACACTTTGTGTTCCCAGGTTCAGAGGGCGTACACTGACAAGAGAAGGCAGAGTCCATCCCCAATGGTGAGCACAAAATGCTATGACAGGTGATTGCAGAGAGGAAAAAAGCACCCAACTCCGTAAAGCTAAGTCCAGCCACCCATTCACAAGAGTCCAGAATCCTTGAAATCTCCAGGGACAGAAGACTAACAGGCTCCCCAGAATGAGCTGACACACAAGGCAAACCCTTGGAAATGACACACAGATGAGGAGGCTGTGGTTGTTCATCCTAATCCTGCTAGATTTGCAGCTCTGCCTCAGGACTGGAACATCTACTAGCCTCCCCTGTTCATTCAGAGGCCACTGTCTCTGAGGAGTCCAGAAAGCTCCGTCAGCTGACACCAGTGATCAGGAAGTTATGCTGTTCTTTCCTCTTGGAAAGTATGCTTGGATACTAGACAGAGGCAAAGCATTATGCCAGAAGCAGGGAAAAGTCATTCATTCACTGTCAGATCTGTTTGTTCAAAGAGCTCACATTAGACCAATTACAGAAAACCACCAGACTTGCACAGCCTATATCTGAATGAACCAGGAGAGACTTCAAGGATAGACTTAAAGTGCTAGAAGAGAAATCTGTATGTTTGGGGCATTCAATAAACAAGTGATGTCACAGAAGACCCACATCCTGTTAGTCTTAGGAATATGACCCTATTCATGGACAAGGTGTTTCAATGGACAGCCTGAGTGCTCACCCACCCCAACCTCCTCTCGTAGCAAGACAAGGAGTCTGTTGCTCAGAGGGGGAAACTGTGACGTCATTTAACAAGAGGCCAGGACTTCTGGCTCTAGTTCAACAAAAAGTCAGTGCATAATTCTGGACACAGCATCAGATTTTCTGACTTCTTAGAAAGAACAGCTAATTAAAAACATGTCAAACTCTAGTAGTTACTTGGAGATTAACAAGGGCAGAAAAGAAGAGAATACAAGTCTTAAAACCCTATGTGGGATATACTTCTGATGAAACTTCTACTTGAATAATATACCGTGATGATGGCACTATTTGATTTTAAACTATGGAGACAGCTTTTATTCTTTCAATTTGGATCCTGGTAAGTGCTATATAACAGTTAAAGCCCAAATGTATTGCCATAGTTAAGGTTGAAGAGTTAAATCTATGTGTAACTAAATCCTTCTCAATTGAGTTACAAATACATTTCCCTTTACAAAGATGACTCTGGAGGGTGCAAGCACTACATGTTTGGAAGAGCAGGGATGCCTGCAGCTCTCAGTCACCTGTTGGCATGTTTGTAGTTAGTCTGCTCCCTGCTGAAAATGACTGCATTGACCAAGGGCCTATTCCTCTCCTAAGGCCTTCACTACTGTTCACTGGTTGGCCCTACAGCAATCAACACCTCTCCTGCTCTCTCCTGTCTGCCTAGAGGAAGCATCTCTCAGCTATTTAAGTACACACTTGCTCCAAGATAACTGAGCCCCCAAACAGAATCTAATCACAAGCTCCTTTAATAAGCCAACTAGAACCCTCCAAAAAGGTGGACACTAAAGTCAGTAATCACTAGAAGTGGTCTAGCCGGGGAAATGGCAACAAGTGTCTAGAAGGAGCCAGAGTAAGTGGGTAAACAGAGATCCCAAAAGAAACTCGAGAAGGCAGACACCTGAGGATTTTAAGCTACTCTAATGAAATGGAAGATCTCCGTTAATACACTTATAGACCTATCAGAGCTAATGCTTCCGAGATCCCAAGACATCAAAGGCTAGAGTTTTAACTAAAATCTCTTACAGCAGTTTGTTTGCACTTAAACAAAAAGTCAGATTACAGCAGTTTATATGCAAGGGTAAAATGAAGTGTTGAAGCTGGACGGCAGTCCATGATATCTAAGTTTCACCTTGGGAAAATAGACACTCTCCCTGAAAGAATGCAGAACACTCCTGGGCATCCAAGTCATTTTGTACTCCAGAGGATATGGAGAAATGGCTGAAGGGAAAGCAGGAAAAGTGGTCTCTAGCCTTATACAATGTACACCCCTGGGACTCAGAACTCTCAGTGGACTAATGTGGGTCACTTCTGTGTGGCTCTGTTGTGCTAGAAGTCAAACCTGGAATTCCAGCAGCTCTGTGGAACTTGGCACAGCCAGCAAGGTTGACGTGCTCAGGACAACACACCCGATCCCTTCCCCTCCCTGTTCTAAAGGGAGAGAAAGCAGCATGACTATGGGCCAACTGAAGGGGACAGGTGAGGCTGACCTGATGTTCAAAGAGATTCTCAGGTCCCAATGAAGACAGCTCTGGGTGGAAGATTTACATCTTAAAGAGTAAGAGAAGGATGTTTTAATTGCAAGCTTTCTAAGTAATTGCTCTAAGAGCAAGTTCAGGGGCCTATGTCTATTACTAGGTTTGGGCTGGGCTGAACAGTAAATTTTTCTGACAGCAATGAGCTTTTTCAGGCAGGCATTTTAAGAGGGGGGCTGAGGGCATCCTGGGGACAGGGCCCTAAGTTGCTAGAAGCTACACTAGGGCTTGGTTAAGGAGAGTCATTGTTCCTGGCAGCTCTTGGCAGTGCAGTTTCAATGCCTTAGAACAAGAGTGGTGGATGGACTGTGATAATGATGGATAGTGAGAGTCATTAATAGAAGAGGATTCTAATTAAAACAAGGAAAACAAAAACAGGGGAAGAAGAAAACCTGAACTTCAGACAGGTGAGAGAAAAGCAGCATCATTTCCATAGCTGAATGCTCAGCGTCACTGGTGGGGGACTGAGGTCAGACCCTTTTGACTGGGAGAAGCAACACACAAGGCAACATGGTTTTTCCCTTTCACTGTGGCTTACTTCTTTACACGACTAAGAAAGAAAAAGCAACCTTATTAAAGAGATTAGCAAGAGATGAAGAAATTCATCTGTCCCAAAGGTCTGCTAACTGCTTCTGCAGGGACAGAGAAGACGGTGCCAGGTTAACTGCTTGTCTCCACTGCAGAACAGAAAACGTCCACGTGATGCCTCTCATCAGTGAGGTAGATGATCATCCTCTTACCAGAGGTATCAAGTGCCAGCCCACAGTGCAGTGGAACAGGAGAATGAGCTGCCTGGCTGCAGGCATGTGCTGTTCCTCAAGGCTGCATCCCACACATGGCAGCCCCACCAGAATTAATAGGGTGCTCAGAGAAAACAGAACCCAAGGGAGAGAGGAACTCGTGCCCCGAGGCCTGCACCACCCTGGCTTGCTCTGTTTTGAGATGCAGAATTTGAAACCAGCTGTCACCGTCACTCAGGTCCACAGTGGAGCCTGCTTCTGTCCTGCCTGTCAGACACACGTCCTGCCACCATGAGAAGCTGAATGTGGGAAGGGAAGAAGAGCCCAGAGTGAATATTAGGAGGAGGAAGTAGAAGGTCACGGGAGGCTGAAAAGCAAAAAATTTTAAAGTAGGTCAAGCTCAAAATTATATCAAGGAGATAAGAGACAGGAGGCAAAGGAGGGTTCCTTTAAGTTTCACCTTGGGAAAACAGAGATGCTCCCTGAAAGCGTGCAGGGCACTCCTGGACACCCAAGTCATTTTCTACTCCAGAGGATATGGAGGAAAGGGCTAGAGGGAAACAAAGGGCCTGAAGGGAAAGCAGGAAAAGCAGTCTCTAGCCTTATGTAATGTATACCCCTTGGAGTATGTTCCAAAGAGGAATGGAGGCAGAAGGAAGAGAAGCTCCAAGGTGATGTCTGCTCCAGGACAAGATGATGGAGAGGTGGGGAGGCTGCCCTGCCATCACTTCCCATGTAAGTCACTCAGCTCCATGTCATCCTTTCGGCGCTTGTGGGTGAAGAGGGAGGCGACAGGGTAAAGCTTGGCTTTGGCCTGGAAGCGGTATCCTGCGATGTCAATCTCATACTCTCCCCGGTTGATGAAATCTGCTGTCACCACCTGCTCTTCCCCCGTGTCCTCAGAAAAATTGTGCACAAAGCCCAGGCAAACGTGGCGCTCCAGGCTGTAGCTGTAGGCACTGCTGGTCGTCTTGCCAACAAACTGCCCATTCCGGTAAATGGGCTCTCCCCACCAAGGCCAAAGGTCTAGGTCTGTGTCATGGTCGTCCAGGATGAACATGGTGAAGCGTTTATACACTCCATTCTGCTTCTGCTGCAGGAGGGCGTTGCGACCAATGAAATCCATGCCCTAAAAAGAAAGGAACGGTCAAGTCACCCAGTGACACTCAGACCCTTTGCACAGAAAGTAGCAGCATGGGAAGGGTCCCCTGGTGTGACTACAATTGGGCGCGGCCACCTCCTCCCACAGCCTTGCCAGCTTTAGGGAAATGGTGTGCTTGCCACCATGTGAAAAACTGCATTTGCAATATAAAATACACTTCAGAAATTTTTGTAACAACAGAGGTACACATTTTGTTTCCTATTTTATAAACATAAAGTCACAAGACCAGACAGAACGAAATCATTTAGGAAAAAAAACTCAGTCACTTAATAAAATACCCTATCAGTACAGTACTTTAGAAGAATGTTTTTATACTGGCCAGGCACTATGGCTCACGCCTATAATCCCAGCACTTCGAGAGGCTGAGGCAGGTGAATCACCTGAGCTCAGGAGTTTGAGACCACCCTGGCCAATGTGGCGAAACCCTGTGTCTACCAAAATACAAAAAATTAGCTGGGTATGGTGGCATGTGTTTGTGGTTCCAGCTACTTGGGAGGCTGAGGTGGGAGAATCACTTGAGCATGAGAGGCTGACGCTGCAGTGAGCCAACATCGCGCCACTGCAGTCCAACCTGGGTGACAGAGTGAAACCCTGTCTCAAAATCAAAAACAAAAAAACCCCACAAAAATTAGGCAACTGACTATAAGATGACTAATTTGTACAAATATTCGTGGCATGTTAATGAGTCACCAAATCAACTCGGAACAGCTTCCCAGAAAGCACTGTCTTTTAGACAGCAAAGCACTAGAAATAAATGGGTTTTTGTTTTTCTTTTTTGAAATCTTTTTTTTTTTTTTTTGAGACGGAGTTTCACTCTTGTTACCCAGGCTGGAGTGCAATGGCGCAATCTCGGCTCACCGCAACCTCCGCCTCCTGGGTTCAGGCAATTCTCCTGTCTCAGCCTCCTGAGTAGCTGGGATTACAGGCACGCGCCACCATGCCCAGCTAATGTTTTGTATTTTTAGTAGAGACGGGGTTTCACCATGTTGACCAGGATGGTCTCGATCTCTTGACCTCGTGATCCACCCGCCTTGGCCTCCCAAAGTGCTGAGATTACAGGCTTGAGCCACCGCACCCGGCCTTTTGATATCTTAATATAGAGATGAGGTCTCGCTGTATTGCCCAGGCTGATGTAGATCTCCTGGGCTCAAGTGATCCTCTTGCCTTGGCCTCCCAAGGTGCTAGGATTACAGTCATGAGCCACCGCACCTGGCCAAGTGTGGTCTATTTATTTATTATGGTTTTTTGGTTTTTTTGAGACAGAGTCTTGCTCTGTCTCCCAGGCTCGAGTGCAGTGGTGAATCTCGGCTCACTGCAACCTCCGCCTGCTGGGTTCAAGCGATTCTCCTGTCTCGGCCTCCTGAGTAGCTGGGACTATAGGTGCCAGGCACCACACCCAGCTATTTTTTGTATTTTCAGTAGAGACAGGGTTTCACCATGTTGTCCAGGCTTGTCTCGAACTCCTGACCTCAGGTGATCGGTCCACCTCAAGTCTCCCAAAGTGCTGGTATTACAGGTGTGAGCCACTGTTATTATGTTTTCATTTGAAGATATTTCATCCTATAAAGTTTTCATTCTCAGGACACTCATGTCCCCATTTGCCTAATACTAAGATCAAGGCCTCAATCTTTTTCCTCTTTTTCTGCCATATCAGTTCTTCTTCCTACTCCAGTACAGATTCACTACTTAGGAAGCTGAGTGAAAGTGGAGTCTGGATAAACACAGTACCTTCTCTAATTTCACCCGAGACTCTCGTCCACATTCCAGGGGCGTGGTGAGGTTATTTATATCCTGACCCCAGAAGGCAAAAAACTTCTCAATTCGGAGACTTCGAAGAGCATAATATCCAGCATTCCGGATTCCATATTTCTGCCCAACACTCATCACTTCATTGTATACATGCAGGGCATACTATAGGAACAGATAGAAAGTTAGTAAGCAGTAGACCTTCAAAATTAAGGATGGAACATGTGTGGAAGCGCTAACAGCTCACGCTATTAACGTGGACAAGAAAGGAGGCGCATAAAACTCCCAGGATGTCTCATCCTTGATGCACTTAGGCACAGCCCAGGAGTGACGAGCTGGGGTACCCCCAGCCTAAACTTAAGCTCCATAACAGCACGATCCATGTCTTTTCACCTCTCTAAAATGTCTTGTGTGGTGATTCTAGCACTCAGCAATTATTTTTTTCTTTGAGACGAAGTTTTGCTCTTGTTGTCCAGGCTGGAGTGCAATGGTACAATCTTGGCTCACTGCAATCTCCACCTCCCGGGTTCAAGCGATTCTCCTGCCTCAGCCTCCCAAGTAGCTGGGATTACAGGCCTGCACCACAACACTCGGCTAATTTTGTATTTTTAGTAGAGATGGGATTCCACCATGTTGGCCAGGCTGGTCTCAAACTCCTGACCTCAGGTGATTCACCCGCCTTGGCCTCCCAAAGTGCTGGGATTACAGGTGTGAACTACCACGCTGGGAAGACAACCTCAAATATGGAAAAAAGGAATCCATACTATTGCATGCAACACCTGCCTGTGGTATGTGTGTAAGGGAAACACCTGCATCAGCCAAGGTGGGTAAGGGGAGCCACAGAATACAGCAGGATGAGGAGAATACAGAGCTGGTGTCTTTGGGGAGTGTGGTGCTCTCCCACATCAAGCTCAATCCCCGGTACTTTAGGTAAGAGGACAACCAAGGAGTAAAGCTGTAACCAGGTGACTAGTGCTGGGCCAGATCCAACCACATGACTATTGTTGGTGGGTCTCCACCATTTACTCATCTTTCTCACAAAATACCACAGATTTAGCAGGAAGAAAACAAGAACCTGCCCTTTGCCCCCATGTTTTGGAAAACCTCTTCTCAAAGAGACAAACATAAGCTTCCCGAGGACAAAGCCAGCTTAAAAAAGGTCCAAGAATGGCACAATTAATCTCTTGGACTCATGAAAAATCCTAAGAATGGGAACAGCTCAGAGAAATCAGAAGGCTGAAACCAAAGCCTCCAAGCAAGGATGAAGCTGCAAGAGCCACAGAGCCTCCCCTTCCTGATGAGGTTTGGCCACAAGCGCCCAGGTGACAACACCAGAACGAATGTGTAGAACTCAGAATCAACCTGTCTGCACAGGCAAACCACGGGAGTTGCATGTTTAAACTCTTCCCAAGTCTTGAACAATTTCTTCATATTGGTATAATACTTCTGAGTGTAAAAAAGCAGATGATATTTCATGGATTGTTAAACGTGTGCTTTATTTAATAATCTTAAAAGGGCCAGGCACAGTGGCTCAAATAACTACAAAGAGGGCCAGGCACAGTGGTTCATGCCTGTAATTCCAGCACTTTGGGAGGCTGAGACAGGAGGATCATTTGAGGCTGGAGTTTGAGTCCAGCTTGGGCAATGTAATGAGACTCTCACCACTACAAAAAATAAAAAACAGCTGGGCACCTGTGGTACTACCTACTCAGGAAGCTGAGATAGAAAGACTGCTTGAACCCAGAAGTTCAAGGCTACAGTGAGCTATGATCATGCCATTGCACTAAAAAATAATAATAGGTCAGGTGTGGCGGCTCACGCCTGTAACCCCAGCACTTTGGGAGGCCAAGGTGGGCAGATCACAAGGTCAGGAGTTCGAGACCAGCCTGGCCAATACGGTAAAACCCTGTCTCTGGGCATGGTGGTGCACAACTATAGTCCTAGCTACTCAGGAGGCTGAAGCAGAAGAATTGTTTGAATCTGGGAGGTGGCGGTTACAGTGAGCCAAGATCACACCACTGTACTCCAGCCTGGACAACAGAGTTTGACTCTGTCTCAAAATAATAATAATAATAATAATGAATAATAATAATTAAGGATGGGGTGGTGGCTCACACCTGTAATCCCAATACTTTGGGAAGCTGAGGCAATAGGATCACTAGAGTCCAGGAGTTTGAGACCAGCCTAGGCAACACAGCAAGACCCACCTCTACAAAAACAAAATTAAAAAATTAGCTGGGCATGTTGGCACATGCCTGTAGTCCCAGCTATTCAGGAAGCTGAGGCAGGAGTATCACTTGAGCCTAGGATGTCAAGCTGCAGTAAGCCAGCATGGGTGACAGAGCAACATCCTATCTCAAAAAAAAAAAAAAAAAAAATTAAAAGGAAACCTATCAACCTATCACTATGAGTAAGATGAGGAGAATCAAGAAGAAAACAAGCATGCCTAATGCTTACAATCACTGCTACCTGTAACAATAGGACAAAGAAAGAAAATTACAGGAATAAAGATTGTGGAGAAGGAAACTATTACTATTTGCATATGGTAAGACTGAACCCGGCCTGCAGACCTTTTTATAACAGCAAAAGACCGGAAATACCATAAATGTCTGTTAGTATCGGGATGAATTAGTACCACAATGGAATGTTATGCCACTGTCAAAAAATTTTAAAAGAAAGAAGGAGGAAGCTCTTTTTCTTTAGTTACCAACAAAGAAAGAGCTCTAAGAGAAATTGTGGCGTGAGGCCGGGTGCAGTGGCTCACGCCTGTAATCCTTTGGGAGGCTGAGGCAGGTGGATCACTTGAGCTCAGGAGTTCGAGACTAGCCTGGCCAACATGGTGAAACCCCATCTCTACCAAAAATACAAAATTAGCCAGGTGTGGTGTCGTGCACCTGTAATCCCAGCTACTCAGGAGGCTAAGGCAGGAGAATCATTTGAACCCAGGAGACGGAGGCTGAAGTGACCAAGACTGCGCCACCACATTTCAGCCTAGGCAACAGAGTGAGACTCTGTATCAATTTTAAAAAAATATTGTGAAGTGAAAAAAAAAAAGGATGAAGAATAGCAGTATGCTTCCATTTCTGTTTTTTTAAAAACGGTGCTTGGGCCAGGCGCAGTGGCTCATGCCTGTAATCCTAGCACTTTGGGAGGCCAAGGTGGGTGGATCACCTGAGGTCAGGAGTTCAAGTCAAGCCTGGTCATCATGGTGAAACCCCATCTTTAAAAAGAAAAAAAAAGGGGAGGGGGCTTGGCTGGGTATGGTGGCTCACGCCCACAATCCCAACACTTTAGGAGGCCAAGGTGAGTGGATCACCTGAGGTCAGGAGTTTGAGATTAGCCTGAATGACATGGAAAACCCAGTTCTACAAAAAAATACAAAAATTAGCCAGGCATGGTGGTGCATGCCTACAGTCCCAGCTACCTGGGAGGCTGAGGTGAAAGGGTGGCTTGAACTCAGCAGGTCAAGGCTGCAGTAAGCTGCAGTCATGCCACTGCATTGCACCCTGGGCAATAGAGTGAGACCCTGTCTCAAAGAAAAAAAAAAAAGTCACTGTGAATTTGCTTGCATATGCATAAAAATCTGATATGACATATAAAAGTAATACTAGTATTACTGGTGGCTGTTGGGGAGAACTGATCAGATGGTGCCAAATACTTTTTAAATGTATTACCTATTCAAAAAAACTTAAGTAACTTAGTTAAAAATGGTCAAACCTCTTTTTCAATGTAGGGTACCTCAGTTCCCAAGGCCCAATCAGACACAGCCCTCCAAACCCGCCAGTGCTGGTGAGTGCTGGGAGCGCCTGCACCCCACAGCGTTTCTGGGAAGGGAGGGGTGCCCTCTCACCTCTATGGGGATGTACAGCATGAATCCCGGCTCTCCTGTGTGTGTCATGCTCATCACGCGGATCCCATTTGCATAGCCCACGCTCATCTCCTGCAGGGACAAAGGCAGCAGTCAGCCTGGGCACTCATACTGCTTGTCAAGGGAGGGACGCCTGGGAAAACCTTTCATTAATGCTGCACCCTCTGTTTACTGTTGAGGGAGATAGACGTCAAGGCAAGAGTTTCATCTTGAAAGTGGTGCATTTCTAGGTCCTGAGGCACCGAGAATGGAGCACCGCCTCTACGACATCTCTGCCTGCTACTGTTACTATTTCACAAGTTTTAGCCAAGCTGATGGTGGAGAGTGAAGGGAAGTCCATGACAAACAAAATATTCCTCCTTGCCAGGTCCTTGTATTAGTCGGGGATAGCAGACACAACCAGGACAAGACAAGTGTCTTCTCTGGGGGACTCGGCAGACAAAGCCTGGCCACCTGCCATTCAAAAGATGATGCTCAATGCCCACAGACATGACTCATCTGCTACCCTGGGGTCAAAAGCGGGCTTCTGATTCTCAGAACATGTTACACAGCAGCTCAGTTCCTGCCAGTGATGCAACTGCTTTTCCTATAAAGTAAAGTGGAAAGTCTCAGAGAGCAATGAAGCAAACCGCTTCCATAGTACACAGACAGGATGCGGCACTCACCAGGCGAGAGGGTATGGGTGACTCCTCCAAGCAGCAGAGATCACTGGGAGGGGACCACTGATGGCTAACAGTGGAGAGTTTTCTATTGCTTTCATTCTACCTCCGAGAAGGAAAACTGTAACAATTTGTAGGTGGATCCCAACTATGGTTGAAATTCAGAGTTTCCATCAGTAACTGGAAGTTGCTGGTTACAGGTTGCCAAAATGGCTGTCCCTTGGCCCTCTCTAATCAGCTGCTTCTTGGGGAGGATTCCGTTGTCACTGCTTTCATTCAGTTACAGTTTGTTTCACTCAGCTGTGGTAGCCACTTATAGCAAAGAAAATTATGTAAGAAGTTCAGAGATTCACCTAAACCATTTCTTCCCTGAAGATGCCACATATGCAGAAGTTACTCTGTGTATGGAGAGAAGGTACCTAACCTTGATGGGCATTTCTGGGTGTCAGTGTCATAATCCTATAACTTCAAATTTTAATCCACTGTTACAGAAAACAAAAAATATACAGACTTTACATTTAGAGAAGCTAAAACCACTTCAAAGATATCCGAATGCTTACTAGATAAGGAAAGCTTGGAGTGTAAAACATAAATATACTCAGGCACTTCCTTGCTAATAAAGGTCAGCCGTTTTTTGTTTTGTTTTTTTTTTTGAGACAGTGTCTCCCTCTGTTGCCTAGACTGGAGTGTAATGGTACAATCTGAGCTCACTACAACCTCTGCCTCCTGGGTTCAAGCAATTCACATGTCTCAGCCTCCCGAGTAGCTGGGACCACAGGCATGCGCCATCACGCCTGGCTAATTTTTGTATTTCTGGTAGAGACAGGGTTTCACCATGTTGGCCAGACTGGTCTCGAACTCCTCACAAGTGATTCACCTGCCTGGGCCTCCCAAACTGCTGGGATTACAGGCATGAGTCACTGCGCCCGGCCAGCACACTCTTTCATTTGAGACAGAGTCTCACTCTGTTACCCAGGCTGGAATGCAGTGGTGCAATCTCGGCTCACTGGAACCTCTGCCTCCCAGGTTCAAGTGATTCCCGTGCCTCAGTCTCCTGAGTAGCTGGGACTATAGGTGTACACCACCACAACCAGCTAATTTTTGTATTTTTAATAGAAACAGGGTTTCACCATGTTGGCCAGGCTGGTCTCAAACCCCTGACCTTGGGTGATCTGCCTGCCTCAGCCTCCCAAAGTGTTGGGATTATAGGTGTGAGCCCCTGCGCTTGGCCAGGACACTCTTCATGGGCATTAACGCCATAGTAGGAACATGTAACTGCCCCCGCTATGAGAGACATACTCTCTGCCCATTTAAGAAACAGAAATTTACCAGCACTCACCTTGCAAAAGAGACTTGGGAAGTGGTCTGGAGTCATAGGGGCATAGGATAACTCGGACAGCACATCCACAGCTCGAGGGCCAATCAGATTGAGGGCTAAATGGAAAAGAACAAGAGATGTCTAGCTCTCCTGCTGAACAGCTGAACCAATGGGAAAGGTCTACTGTAGACTTGCTCAGCCATGGCCAGGCCTGGGTGCTGAGACCAGCAATGTCCCCTTGCTTAGGCACTCCAAGGATGGATGCTAAACACCCCAATTCTGGTAAACACACCTCTGCCAACAGGGCCTGCTGAAGGCAGCTACTGACTGCTGCTTGCATTGAGAGAACCTGGCTAAATATGCTTCCTCTGCCTGATACCAAGGAAGACAACATTCCAGATCTCCTCTGCAATTACAGAGGATTGCAAGACAAGTCCTGGCCAATAAGACACAAGCCCACTTGCAGGGCTGGCCATAATTGCCCTACACAATTCCCATTCTCTTCCCAGAGTGGCTATGTGATAGATGAAGCCCCAAAACCAAATAAGTACCTGGAGGAGATCTGCCCAGTCAAAAAGTATACAGACTTTTACATTCAGAGAAGTAAAATCCACTTCAAAGATATTCTAATGCTTACTAAATAAGGAAAGCTTTATTCCGAACTCCCATGTCTGTGACAGCAGCTTGTGCCAATTACATGCCATCTATTCTAACACAGGCTAGAACATGACTTTTGTTCAGTAACATTCTATAGTTTGCCAACCTAGGAGCAGAATTTAAATCATATTCGCTACTATAAGGAGTTCAGAATGAGGGCCTGGGAGGGCAAACGCTGCTAGGGCTGAGGGGCAGGATCAGTTAGGTGGGAGGGCAGGAGGTGTTAAGTCAAGACTGCTAAGGATGAGAAAATCAGGGAACCAAGTCATCCTTAAAAATTAGGTACTCACACACGCACAAAAAGACATTTTGAAGAAAATATTACTTAGGTAGTAAAGACTGAAATACTGTAAATATTATTTATTCATTCATTCAATAAATAATTGACTTCCTACACGCAAGCTATAGGGGATATAGCAGTGAATAAAACAAATAGAACAGAACCACTAATTCATTTCACACTCCACTTAAAAAAAGAAAAAGGGGCTGGGTATAGTGGCTCATGTTTGTAATCTCAGCACTTTGGGAGGAGGCAGGCAGATTACTTGAGCCCAGAGTTTGAGACCAGCCTGGGGAAAATGGCGAGATCCTATCTCTACAAAAAAAATTAAAAATTAGCTGGGTGCAGTGGCATGTGCCTGTGGTCCCAGATACTCTGGAGGCTGAGGTGGGAGGATCGCTTGAGCTCAGGAGGTTGAGGCTACAGTGAGTTGTGATGGCACCACTGCAGTCCAGCCTGGGCAACAGACCCTGTCTCAAAAAAAAAAAGAAAAGGCAGTATTAGATACCAATTTTTTTTTTTTTTTTCAGATGGAGTCTCGCTCTGTCACCCAGGCTGGAGTGCAATGGCGCGATCTCAGCTCACCGCAACCTCCGCCTCCTGGGTT